CTTTCTTTGTGCTTGTATCTGTTGTGTTCCACCTGGCTTCTGTATCTTCTTCTTCTTCCACCTGGCTTCTGCTTCTTTGTCTCTTTCCACCCAACTTCCTTAACTCCCCTCGTGTTCCCAAGTTACTAGTAATGAGCAAAAAAGACAAGGAACCAACTGTATCTTTGTCTTTCTTTGTACTTGTATCTACTGTAGGATGGTGTTTGTCTCTTTCAATTCTAATATTCTTTCTTTGCTTCTCATTTTGAATAGAGTTAGTAACAGATTGCACCTTACCTCTCTCCTTACCATTCAACTCGTATAATATAAATCTTCTAAAATTTGTTCTACCTGGTTGGTTGGTGTATTAAGTAATTACAGCAATGACTTGCCACTTGACCCTGGAGGAAATTTCGAGGGATAATGGCCGTGGAAGAAGAGTATGTTTTCTGCCTACTGAACTGCAGATACAATTTGATTTACCTTGTGCATTTATTTTAGGTGAAATATACTCTTTGTTCTATGGTATACAATGAACGTTTAATTTTGCTAATTTAATCAAATCATGATTAGGAAATGGTACTTAACTATGACATGACACCGAAAAAAGCTTTAGAGTGTTACGGTACAAAGTTTCTCACAAGAGCTCACACCTGCAGAAAGGTTTTCTTCTCAATACTTTCTTTTGCATTTCACTATTGGCTTCCTCATTAATTGTTTCCAGCTATTGTTTGAAGGTATATGTGAATATTCATTTTTTCCCATCAAGCTATTTAACTTTTTCATAACTGGAATGTTAAATATGGTCTACTGATTTTAGTCTTTCTAGTTGTAATGTAGTTGTGTCTGCCAATGAAGGATATGATGCATGGTGATGACATTCATTGGTATTTAGTTGTCATCTTGATGGATGACAAGCAAGTCCATATCTTGGATTCATATCCTTGTGAAGAGCGCCAAACACCTTGTACAGATTCAGTACAAACTATGGTATGGTTAGAAACTGGGAGTGGAATAAGATTATATTTGTGAACTAGATTTTTGTTCTCTCCTATTTGTAATAAAGTTACTCTATGTAGATTGGATTTCTCGATGCCTTGTTCGAGGATCTTTATTTACAAGTTGAACAAATGTGCGATCCCCCAGTGATGAAGGAGTTCTCTTTGACAATTCCTTCAGTTCCTGAACAACGTCACGAGTAAGAATCAGTCCTCGTGCATAAATTCTAAAACATACTTAGATACTGACAACTCATATGCTTCATCTAATTTTATGTAGGTATGACAGTGGCGTTTGGGTGTGCATATGGATGATGGGTGCAACTTGGGATGAAGATTATTTTATATGGGTAAGCAATCATTCACTTGCTTCAACTTGCAGTTAAACAACCTAGTGAATTTACCCATTGTCTTTATGAAAAAAATTCAGGCATGTGGAGATATGAGGAGAATGTAACGAGCTTTGTATCTGGTCAAACAACCTGCAAATTACGTAAGACATATGGTCATCAAGGAAGCAAATAGGAATGCGCCCAGGTTTGAACTCGAGACTCGTACGTACAAGGAAGAAAATCGAAAGAGGATGAACAAGAACTAGAGCTAAATGGAGATAGTGCTTCCATGATTTCGTAATCTACGTTTGCTTTTTGGATTCAAGGACTTGTTCATTATATGTTTCACTACATTTCATCAGATTAATGGTTGCATTTCTGTTGGGTATTTTGGATGAACAAATTTCAATTTACATTATCATGGGATTCGGTTCTTTTTGTTCTATGTTGAACTTGTTTGTTTGTTGAACTAGTTAAGTTTATGGTTTTAGAATCTTTGGTCTATATGTTTAGATCCACAGCATCGACACTTTTTGGTACATTTTCAATTGTTCAGTTTGGGATGAAACTAATTCTATTATACGCAAACTCAAGTAATTCGTTTGGTGACCAGCTGGGATTTAATTACAGTATGCATCAAAACTCTTTTTTTTCAGCCAGACCTTTTCCAAATTCTATGTAATCAGCGTATGTGTATGTAATCAATAATCTAATACAGCCGAGATTGTGAATGTTCTCCATCATAATCATAGGATCAGTGGTTCGAAACCTTTCATGAATTAAACATTTTTTCCCTCCCCCAGCCCAACCACTTCAATATCTTCTTTTCTCATTTCTCTTTTTTCCCCAATATCTCCCTGTACATTTTCTCAGTTCCGATTATCATCTCCGGTCACCAGAATTAAGTTCAGGGGACGCACCATCGTTGCGAAAGGGAGCAATCCGCTAGGAGCTTATCCAACACCTCTCTCTTCTCCGCCAAGCCCACGACACTAATCCAATCTCTTTCACTCTCATCCAGCAACCCAATTGCCGACCTCGCTGTAATCCCATCCCCATCTCTCTACGCCGAAAACCCCACGTTCTGTAGGCACCCACATACCACCAGAAATCCCTACCCGCCAGAGCTCGGGTGCAGCGGCCGGTCAACGAATTCTCCAGCAAGCTCTCCCTAACATTGATCGAGACAACCCCAACTCATCCGCGTGATTGAAACCTTGATGGGAGGAAACTCTACCTCGAATTTTTCCCCTTCAATTTCTTTTCGATCTTGTCGTATACAGAACGACGATGGGAGGAAACTAATCGCTTAGTATCCTGATTCCGGCAATGGTCGTACCACAACCTCTGTTTCCACGGCATCCTTTTGTGGTCGTACGCCGTCATCTAATTCCGGTGGACACTTTAGGTTTTTTGGTTATGGTTGTTGGATTAGGATGATGATTGTAAAATTGAGTGTAGTTAATGGGGGTAGTTGTGATGAACTGATGATGAATCGATGATGATGATGATGAACGAAGGGCTTGGGGTGCGGTAGGATGAAATTAAAGGTCCACATTACAATGGAATTTTATTATCAATTATATAAATCTTCGGGTTCAATAAAAACCTCTACGAAATAAAGGTATCATACGAGAAAATATAATGGTAATTATTGTTGGGGGACTTCATAGCACGTATAATTATTTAAAGGGTTCAATTTGTAATTTAATTCTTAATAAATACATAATTATTAATGCAATTAATGACCGCCGTTAGATTAGATCTACGGTGCAAAGCACCTGGAGCATGTTATGCGTCTGGAGCGTACGAGTCTGAACTTAGGTAACCTAATTCGCTGCATTAGCTCCGCCGCTCCCGCTTTGGAGCGTGGAAACGCGAATTTTTATTGGAGCGGCTACAATTCGCGAATTCCATTTGTACAGAGCGCGAATTTCAATTGACGGAGCGCGAATTTCACAAGGACCCATCGCTTCCCTACTCAAGGAGATGTTTGATTCTCCAAATGGCTTCCGACAATTCAGTTCTCCATCGCCGCCCAACCACATGTGCTAGCCCAGGCAAGACTTGCAACTGCTCGATGTCATCGAGGCACACTAAAACTTAGCTACGTCGTTGAACTGCTCGATGCTCTTTCACTCGTCGCCGACCGCTCGAGATTGAGAATTTATCAAGAGATAATTTACCGAGCGAGCGACGGGTGGGTTGCCGAGACGGACGGCAACCAGCAGGTACAGGGCCATGGAGAAGAGGATTTTCAGTGGTCAAGGATGGGGACAGTCTGGGTTGCGGAGAAGTCGTCGACAATCTGCGGGATGAAGGAATTGTGTGGTGGACTGGTGGCTGGTTGGATAGGAAATTCTCAGGCGGATTTGACTCCAACGAGCCAAAGAAAGCCTAAAAGGGTGAGAAGAAGATGATAATGAATAAGCCGGTTCCCTTTTTCTATAGCTATTTCTCAATCCTTATCCTTTCAATTAGACCTGGGTTTTTTTATTATACTTGAAAATTGCTATATAGTCCCTATAAATATAGCGATCACGGTTACGTCATAGTATTTCCACATGCATTCAAATATCAGTCGTTTTAAGAATGAAATGAGAGTATAAACTATAAACCATGGAAACAATTAAAAGACTAACTAATTAATTCAGTTTTTATATTTAATATTATATATAAAAGCTGAGTTAGAATCCGAGAAGAACTGATTACATACTTGACTAATGTTCAAGTATACAGGTTTGTGCTTCATTATTTATTCAAGTTTGTTACTCAAATAATAATATAATATTAACGCTTTTATCACGCTCTCAATGTTGAGTTCTTCTAAACCAAACGCTCTCACGCTCTCGTTCTCGCTCCCGCTCTCGCTCTCGCTCCACGAACTAGTTACCTAAGTCTGAACCATATATATATATATAACCAAAGTCCACCTTCATTTAGTAATTATAATGGACAAACTCCATTTGCGTGATTCATTCACCATTCTTAAGCCAAGCCACGACTAATCCATAGTTGGTTCCACCGGTGGCATTGTAAAGCTAGCAAAATAACCCTCTCTATTGGGATAACCCGCCTGCTCCCGTTGCTATTCTCTAAATCGCTACCCAACCCAACTAAATACTTAACGTAATCAATATCATCATCGACTATATTTAAGGAAGCGCGATCATTACCTCTATTGCGTGCCTTAGTCTAGATAGAGGGATTAAAGGTGTCGATCTCCTAGCTTGGATCGTCGTTCGAGCACTCCGAGCCTTGCCGGCGAAACTACAAGACAGGTGATAATTAGCTGGAGCCCCTGTGCAAATGATCAGTGTCGACCGACTCTCGTGTTTGGATCGCGCAAGGCGGAAAGGGGAAGGCGGTGCCATTGCTTGGTTTTATTAGTTTAGGTTTTCGATAATCGCTTTTGGCTATTAGGTTTAGCATATATATGTATCCACATGAAGAGATGTAGAGAGGAAGGAGGTGGAATGTACGTGAGGGAGGAGGAATCCCCACCTATTTCTGCGACTGCGTTTGGTTTTGTTTAGGGTTAGTTAGAGCTTAATTAATCATGATAATTAAATGAGGGTAAATTTGGAAATTTGTGATAATTCTAGGTACCGGGCGTGACATTATCACATTACCCAAACTAAAAAAACTCACCCGTATATAATCATCCAGATGAAAGAAACACGTGTCAGACTATACCCTTCTCATCCTCCTCACATATCATTCTCTGGTTCACATCTTCACGCGCCAGCAAGACGATAGACCCAGCGCAACAATACAGAGGATCTCCGACTAAATATCTAACGGATAACAGCTCAATTTGGCGCACAATTCTTCCTTCACCTCTACTTCTTCTCACACTCTCCACTGAACATGGCGGCGGCCACAGCAGCAGTCGGGACTCATCTCTCACCGTCTCTCTCCCTCTCTGTTCGCGGTAATTCTCCCCCAACACCTCCCTTTTTCCTACCATAATCCCTTCTTTCTTTCTTTCTTTCTTTCTTTCTTTCTTTTTGCCTCGCTGGCGGAATCTCTCTTATTATACTGTGTTCTTCGTCTCAGATGCTTGTCCTGTCAGCTCGCAAGCGACCCTATCCGTTTCTCGGCTACCCAATTCCAGATTTGGACGAATTGGCACCACTTTCGCCACTGGGTCACCTCTATGTAAGCATACTCCACCCCTCTAATTCCATTTCCATTGGAGAAAAAAGAGCTGTGCTTTGAGTGTGAATTGATCTGCATTTTTGGTTGGTTTGAGTTCTGTTTGGCGGAGTTGCACTTTGCCCTTTGTTGCCCCTTTCTTTTCAAAACTTACCTAATGTTTTCCCAGTCTGAATGGAATTGGGATTCCTTGGAGTTCGTTCGCTGAAGAGAATCAGTAGCCATGTTTCCAAAGGGTAGAATGGCTAGAATGACTGTACATGAGTCATGAATTGCAAATTCTGGCACATCATCTTGTAGCTGTTCCTTCCAAGGAAATCTCTCGACTAGATGATGTAGCTTCATGTACACAACTTCTCGTGGCTATGACTATCTAATAGATACTCCCACTGTTTCGGTTGCTTTGCTGGGAATTTTGCCCAAATATAACTAAAAGGAAAAGCTTAAACTGAATTTAAAGGCATACGCATAACATTTGTTGTGATTTCTCTGCTATCACTTGCAGTGGTATCTAGAACTGGACTTGTGAAGAGGCAGTCTGCAAGAAAAGCAGCATTAGTTTCTATAAGAAGCGAGCAAAGCACCCAGGATAGCGGTTTGGATGTATGGCTAGGACGGCTTGCAATGATAGGCTTTGCTGTGGCCATCACGGTTGAAATTTCGACAGGGAAAGGCCTCCTTGAAGTAATGCTTTGGTTTCACTTCCACCATCTGTTCGCAGTTGAAATGTCGACACTATCATGGTGTACTGTAATGTGTTGAATTCAAGCATATTGATTCAATATTCTTCCATTGCTTGCTTGCAGAATTTCGGGCTCTCGAGCCCCGTGCCTACAGCTGCCCTGGCGGTGACAGGATTGGTTGGTGTTCTCACAGCAGTGTTCATCTTCCAATCCTCATCCAAAAGTTAAGACCCTGATTTGGCTGGACGAACATCGGTGTTTAGTAAACTGTAATTTTTGTAACAGCTGCTCCAGAGATGCTCCAAGAAGAGTGGAGAATTTATGCTGTCTAAAGATTCTGCACCCCTCTTAAATCTTTCTGTTGCATATCTTACTCATCTTGGTACTGCTTTAATTGATTCCTCTGAAGCATTTGATGCTTCTTTCTATGGCTTCCCTACTAAAGTATGAACTATGAAGCCTTGTTAACAGCCTGTTTGGTAACTTCGGTTGCCTACTGACATCTGTATCTGATGCAAAGGATTGTCGGTTAGGATGCTCTGGGTCTAGACAACATTTGTTGATTAAATGACATTTGATTCTGAATTTCTGATTCATCTCTGTAAGGGCAGGAATCCATCACCGATTCGTCATTTTCCTTCTTCACTTCAAGTCGGCTTCGACACATGGACGTCCTCGGTCAATTAACATATAACTTTACTAATTCAAACACATATTTTAATGATCCGAATCACCACTTAGGCCTGAAATCAAGAGTATGATATTGTAGTTTGACTTTGGAGTTGAAAGGGCTATCTGAGTATGACAGGTGTAGCTCACTAAATGGGCATATATTCTGTCTCAACTTTTGGTTTAGGAAACAGTAACAGAAGAAGGAATATGTCATTCATCTCCTCCAAAAGCAAAGTATAGATATCTCCTATGACTAAAATTTGACTTCAAATCCATCAATGGTGGTTATGGTGGCAACTGTTCAAGAACATTGGATTCTACAAACTTTCATCCCTTTCTTCTCCTCCTCAACTCCAATATTCCCCTGAACTTTAGAACCGGCAATCTTTGGATTTTTGCTTCAGGCTGTAAGTGTTCTCATCTCATGTATCGCCCCCCACAAGAAAACAACAACGAGGTTCTCATTCCCACCTGCTCTGATCTTCAGTAATTTAACTTTTACTTCTTTCAATTTCCAGGAGTTAGGGAGCTAACTTGCAGGCGGAAATGGGGTTGATCATCTCAAGGATCGCCAAGTTGTTCTTTCCAAAGAGTAAAGTTAGGATTCTGATGGTTGGTCTTGATGCATCTGGGAAAACCACCATTCTTTACAAGTTGAAGCTTGGTGAAACTGTTACCACCACTCCAACTATAGGTATCTATCTATCTATCTACCCTGGAAAATCCTTTTCCTTCTTGCTCAAGGCTTAATCTTCCACGGCCGTAAAAATGAGGAACCATTGTTTGATCTGAACCAGGTTTCAATGTTGAGACAGTGGAGTATAAGAACGTTAGCTTCTCGGTATGGGATGTCGGAGGGCAACAGAAGGTAAGGAAAGCTGCCTGAATTGAGAAGCCGCTGTCATAGAAATTGTCCGTTGGTTTCATTTTTCTTCTTCCTCTTCTTCTTCCAAACAGATTAGGCCACTGTGGAGACATTACTTCCACAATGTTCAGGGGCTGGTGTTTGTGGTGGACAGCAATGACAGGGAGCGAATCTCAGAAGCGCGGAACGAACTTCACAGGATTCTAACTGATGTTGGTAACCCATTGCTGCTCCAAGAAGTGTCCATTGCTACAGAAAAGTTTACTTGCATCTTGGTTTTGGTTCCTCAAATCACACAATCGTTTCTGAAATGTGGTGTTGCAGAATGAACTGAGGGATTCAGCACTATTGGTCTTTGCCAACAAGCAGGATTTTCCAGATGCCATGAATACTTCTGAGGTTGCTCATAAGCTCGGGCTTCATTCTCTCGGCCATCGTCAGTGGTAAGAAGCGTCCAGATCATAGTTAACAACTTCCCAAGTTCTTGCTAGATGCTATAACCTTTCCATTTTTCTTTTCTACTACAGGTTTGTTCAGTGTTCTTCTGCTACATCAGGAGAAGGGCTATACGAAGGCCTAAATTGGCTCTCCACCATTATCGTTGGCAAGCCAGTGTGAATTATATGCAGCTACTTACTTCATTCCCCCCTGTTTCTAAGATTTCTCCAGCCAAGGAGATGGCAAGTTAGTGAGTGAAATAGAGAGGAGACAATAAGATGAAATATGTTGTGTAAAAAAAAGGAAGAGATATTTTCTTGTATGAAAAGAAGCTAATGATTCATTCAAAATTGCACCAAACTCTGATAGACTGAGTTCAAAGTCTGTGAAGGCATTTACATCGGTTGAGTTCTCCTCTTTTGCTAAAAACATACAAAACTCGAGCCTATTACATCAGTACTACATCAACGCAAGTCCAGAGGACTATTTCGAGTTTTTATCGTTTTGATTTCTTCCTGTTGCCATACAAAACTCACAACCTATTACATCAGTACTCCATAGAAGCAGGTCCAGAAGAAGACTTGGACTTTTTACTTTTCGATTTCTTTTTCTTGCCATTCTTGTTGTCCTTCTTCCTAGGTTTATCTTCTGCAGGAGGCAAAGTGCTCAGTACATGTTGATGGATGGATCCAAATGGATCAGCCTGGAAAGCTGGATGGTTGAGAACAGTATTCAGTTGTTTCCCTTCAATCTCCCTGATTAAGAAAATGATGGTACAGAACAAGGCTCAATGAGTGAAACAAAAACCAAGACAGGCAATATGAGAATAGATCATACTAAGTATAGAACTGAAGCACACACAATAGCTTTCTCCTCGACTTGCAGTTCAGTTTAAACTCCTTTTCAGGTGCTCTCTGTTTTGGAGCATTCAACTCAGGAAGAAACTCAGACAGTGTGGAAAGGTCATACGGCTTCAACTTCTTTTGTCGACTTCTGAGTTTCTTCTTCTGGAAGGAAGAAAGAAAGTTTTTCACTTCAACTAGCTGAATAATTTATCCAGAGACCAAAACAAAGCAGCAAGGACCAGACAAAACAGCACATCTTAAAGTAGCAACTAATCCAAACGGGTGATGGATGGAACAGCCATAAAAAAAGACAATTTCCAGCATTACAGTATTTCCATTCTTAAGAATTCAAAAAAGTTCGCCTGTTCAACTCAAAGCATCTTGATCAGACTGATTCCGCCCTTTATTTCCACCTGACATGGGCAGATTCATGGACGAGTCATATCCAGAAATGAAAAGACCTCCAAACAAGTTTTCACGCAGAGGCTTAATCGATAACTCACTATGTTTCTAACATCAATACATTTTCCAAGTCATGAATGAGCCATCCTCCAGCATATCCTTAATCAAGCATGCTAACAACGCCATTCACACACCTACCCAATTGCAATGCTAGGGAGATATATACTCGCTATTGACCATACGATTGTAGAGACCGAAACACTTCACACTCAGCCATCACCATTACCAGCCCAGAAAGTATGATTCACGAAACTGCCCAAACTCCCACCCAGCTCGCTCGTTCGGGACTTTTGACAAACACCTTAAAGGCTAAAAAGCATTGCCAATTGCCAAGCAAGAGACTATCAAAGCCGGGAAGAACAAATTCGTTACCTTGGCAATCGACTTGGTAGCATTCAGAACAACCGAATCCTTAACCTCTGCATTTAATTTGTTAAAAATCCATTAATCACCAAACTTAGACATCGACTCGACCATCAAAACGCCCATTTCCCGCACCCGACCAACGGAGCAGAAATTGGAAAGACAGAAAGCGAAAACTAGTGACGCGGAAATATGAACTCACTGTTGTAGAAATCGAGCCTCTTCTCGAACTTCCGCTCCGCTTTCGCATTGGAATCTTTTCTGCAAGTTACAGAGAGAAGCATTGGAAAGGATCAGAAGAGGGAAAACCCGCCCTAGGAATGGGAGAGAGCTCGCCGATATATCTATGAACTTATCCAGAGTGATGGCGCTCGGCTTACCTAGACTTTCCCATGATTGATGCTGACCTAACGACCTTTCAACCTTGAGCGCCTGCAACGGAACCGAACTCCAGAGGGTTTTCGGGTCGAAGAAAAGAAGCTCAAGGGGCTGGCGAAACTATTGCGGGAAGAGGTAAAGTAAAACCCCAGAGCGGAGCGACGATGCATCGGGTAACCCAGTTGGACACTGGAGCGGAAGGAAAACCCGACGAAATCAACGGCCCGCTATCCGCTGGGCCGGCTTTGATGTAGAATTGTAGATGGATGGACGTGGTTCGGTGTTATCTTAGGCCCAGATTTGAATCAAATTTATTAGGGCCGGTAATCGGTCAGTTACTGGTATACCGAAACCTCCCAAATGACTTTCGACAATCGGTACCGAATGTCAACCAGTTAACCGGTTACCGTTTAACAAGTTAACAGTTAAAACCTCGATTACCGTATAGCCAGCCAAGTAGCAACAGTGGAAACACAGGCCGCCTCTTGAGCTCTCTGATTAGGCTGCAAACACCACGCCTCCGCTGCTCGGTGTTCACCCCCCCGAGATCCATGTTTGCGAGACTAGATCTGGGAAGAAGGTCAATCTACCTGTGGCGACGACGGAGAGGGAGGAGGTTGATTTGTTGTTGAAATAGGGAGAGTATGTAGTTGTCAGATTGCGTTGAAGGTGAGGTGTGAATCTAAGCCTAGTTGAATATCCTCTCCTTGTCACTTCTCATAACAACGACGAAATCGTCATCACCTTCGTCGGCGATGAAGAAGCAGATGGAGATGTCGGTGGTGCGAGTTAGCGGGAGGTAGTTCGCCAATTAAGGTTTTTATGGGTTTCTAGCCCTTGTTTTACATGCCTCCTCTCACAATCGAGATCTCTGGACGACATTCCTCTGTCATCTCAAGCGTCCCCATCCAGACTGGCGGCCTTCGCTAGGTCCCAAATCTCCGTCGCCCAATTCCAAAACGGTCGTTCCCTCCCTCTGTAACTGTTCGACTTATCGTCTTTGCGATCCCGCGCCATTGCTGCAAGTAGGGAGCAAGGAGGAGATGGTGTCAGATGAAGAGTCAGCGGCGTCATTGGGGAGGTAGAGGAAAAGAAGAGGGTTAATTGGTGAGTTCGTCGGCGTTGGAGGTAAAGAGTTTGAGGGAAGAGAGACGAGCTTTAAGGGTTGAGTTCCGGTATTCGGTTTACTGACTAATCGTCGGTAAATAACCGGGCAGATTTCGGTACATCGATAGTGGGATTTTGGCTACTGTCAATTACCAGTTCGGTTGTCGGTTACACCGCTAACTGGCTGACCGGTTACCACCCTTAAAATTTATATAAGTTCAGGTCAAGATAAAGAAAGAAAAAATTAATACCTAAAATTGGAACGCTAATAGGTTATTTGGTCCATATTTTCGAAAAATTCAATTTTGTTCTGAACTTTACATTACTCGAATTACTATAATCTGTGTGTTGTCAGTCAAGTTGGAGTGTCAACACCAGTTACTGTTACTGAGTCAGCACATATTGCTAGCGTGGATGCCACGTAGTATGGAAAATTAATTAAATAAAAAATAATACAAATAAACATTAAAAATTCCCAACAAATTTTTTTCAATATTATTATCTAGGAGTTCCGTTAATCATAGGGAAGCTTATCTCTAAGGATTGTCAGACTTTGAGGGACTGGATCACAGCTCGCATCAGAAGCTGGCAATCTCATTACCTTAGCTATGCTGGATGTTTATAGTTGATTTCATCTATGATTACAAGTGTTACTGTATTGGATTGTTATCTTTCTTTTGTCGATGAAGGTACTGAAGCAAATTGAAGAGTTATGTAACAAGTTTTTATGGAAGGTGAGGGAAGGGGGTTTTCTAAAGAGAGCTCCAGTTTCATGACAGAAAGTAGCTTTGCCAAGAGTAGGAGGTATGAGAATCATAGATTTCAAGACCTGGAACCAGACTTGTGTCATTTTAGGAATATTTGGAATCTTTTGGCAGAAGCAGGGTCGATCTGGGTTGCCTGGGTTTGCAAGTACTTAATTAAGCAGAGGACTTTATTGGATCTAAAGCCCTCTACTAGGGGTTCGTGGGTGTAGTGTCGCATTCTGAAGTGTAAATCCCAATCTCAATATTTTATATAAGGTATGAGGGCCTCCTTGCAATGGAAATGGTGCTACACTTACAAAGTATTCAGTCCAATCAATCTGGTCCTTAATTCATTACTCCTCTTCTACAATTCCATAGTGTGATACTGTTTGAGGTAAGCCCATTTCCTATAAACATAGCATGTTGGTTTTGACTAGTGGTGTTTGACAATATTATTACGAAAGACAAGTTGTTGGCTTCGAAATTGTTGAGGGAAGATTGTTGTTTGTTATGTCCATGCAGAAGTGAATCTCGAAGTCACTTGTTTGCTTCAAGTGCTTACTCTATGTGGATGTTAAAGATTGTCTTGCGGAAAATTTATGTGGCTCCCAAATTTTTCAGGTGGGATGATCGTCTCCGGTGGGTAATTCACAGTTGAGGGGTTCAGGTAATAAAGCAGTTGTCCGCAGGTTTTTGTGGAGGCTGTCCCTAAGTCATATTTGTAGAGAGAGAGAGAGAGAGATTATATGGAGATAGAGGTTGTTGTTCTCCATCACAGCTTGCAACCAGGGTAGTACCTAAATGTATAATGTATGCAACCTCGTTGTACCCAATTCTAGGAGAGGATGACTATGGTGGGTGTTTAGTTCGTAATTATGTTTTGTTCTTGGTTTTTCTTCTCGAAATGTTTTTAGAGCTTGGTGTGTTGTCGCTGACAGTAGTTTAATGCTTGTTACATCTCCTGTACTTAATGACAATTTTGATTAACCATTTAAAAAATATTATTTAGGTTAACACACTTTGTCCTAAAATTGCTAACTATTTGGACCACTTTGCCCTAATTGTCAAGTTGGACCACTTTGCCCTAACTCCACTTCATCATAAAATATAATTAAAAATAAATTAATATTTTATTTAACTATAAAATGAGGAAAAAAATTATTATAAGAATTTTTTTTTTTAATTATTATGGTTATTTCCGAAACAAAAGCGGCAACCCCTTTGTGGCTACGCTGACAATAAACATTGTTCCTCTAATGTCCCACCTATGACGCTCTTACCCTTAGGTAAAACTAGCACCGGGCCCGGCCCCTTGGCCGGGAAAGTCTAGACAAAAAATATGTTCATATAACATGCTTACAATATAATAGGAAGATACGACATATCACTGAAAAAAGAAATATAATTGTTCAAAGAAGAAAAGAAAAACATACAAAATAATAGGTTTTCAATACTTAAAAATGGCAAATAGTTCAAGATTAGAGTTGTTTTTCCTAAAACATACATAATGAACCCTCAGAAGGAAAGAAAAAGATTGGTCTCTAACAGATTTTAGGAATGAGATCATTTGTAACCCTAATTAATGTCTAACAGATACACCCATATTATTCCTCTTCATAGAAAGTAGAATAAGGATCAGCTGGTTTGGAAGCATGCTAGTCGTAGTCCCCGAAGATGCCTAGAAAATAGTCCCGGTTCTCAAGAGAGCTTCAAACTTAAGGCTGAGTGCAACTAATTTTGAATTACATATGTTTGTCTTTGTCAGTGTTGCTGATACTTTCACTGACTACTTTGATTGGTAAGTTGACCATAAATAATAGGGATATACCTTATTTTGACCTTGAAGTTTGTCGTAAAAGCCAAACTTGACATGAACTTGCAAATAAGACAGTTTTTCAAAATTTTGAAAGAAATGGACAAATTTGGACTGAAATTTATGTTGTTCGTTAATATTAAAAGTTAAAAATTTCTTCATCCATTCAACATACAATGCTCAGGTGGTTGCGATTGCGATGTGGCTTCCATGTCATAGGGATGATACCTTATTTTGGCATGAACTTGATGTAAAAGACAATTTTGGCTCGAATTTTCAAATAAGATAGGTTTGTTTGCACTTTGAAAGAAATGAACAAATTTGGTCCGAAATTTGGGTTGACCTTTAATATTGACAGTTGTGATAGAGAGGTTTCGGTTGCGATGTGGCTTCCAAGTCATTTATATATAAAGTCTAAAAAAGTGAATTTTTCAGAAGAAAAAAAGACCACAAAATAGGACCCTTAGTATATCCTAATATTTTCATATTTACTTGCATAAATCATATTAAAAGGAAAAAGAAATTGATTCAGGCCCCCAAAAATCCCAAAGCACGAAACTATCTCTCTTTGTACCCCTCTCATCAATATTAACGGCAACCTAAATTTTGGGTCAAAGTTATTCATTTCTTTGAAAATTCGTACAAAACTGTCTTATTTGAAAGTGTAGGGCAAAATAGCATATTATACCTATGACGTGAAAGTCACACCACAGTCACCTTAACATTGTATGTTGAGTCATAAAAAAAAGAAATGTTTGACCCTCAATATTAATAACCGACCCAAATTTCGGGTCAAATTTGTTAATTTCTTTCAAATTCGGACAAAACTATCTTATTTGAATGTTCATGCCAAAATTGTTATTTACATCAAAGTTCAACACAAAATAGGATATTATCCCTAAATAATATAGGAGTACTAAAAATATTGGACTAATGAAGTTCAAAATGTTTCAAACAACATACAACCCTGATAAAACTGCAGTCCAACCAACTAACATTTAGAACAAATGACTTTCCAGCAGGATAACACAACTATAAGTATGGGTGGTTCTATCATATTTTGATTAAGAAAATGACATAAGGAAATGATATATAGACCTTGAATGATATACTCTGAGTATGAAAATGATGTCTAGTGGCCGGAGCTAGGGACATGGTACTATACCTTAAGCCCTTACAGATTAAAATCTAGGTCTTAATTCTATGAAGCTCATATACTAAGATCAATTTTATTAGAAACAATAATCGAAGGTCGTGTTTCATCAAAATACATCAAAAAAATTATGTGCATAATCTTAGTGTTTAGGGCAAGGATTGAAAACCCTTAACGTACCGGGGGTTCGACTAAACCAGTAGGCACTATGTAGTGTTGTGAAACGACTGAATCACGGTTAACCACAGTTTTCGCATAAAATACCCTCCTGCCGACTTTTTCGGTACAACCTCTGATGAGGTTTTATAATCCTTGGTTTAGGATCTATGATTTAAATAGTTAAGACCTAGAGTTCACTCGTCAAG